GCGCGGGTGCCCACATGCGCAGGAGAGAGCAGAGGTTCTTATCAGAAGCGTCGTCCAAGTCATGAGGCTGTCCGTATGAGGACAGGATGGCGTTCGCGCTGCAAAATTCGGCGATTGAGGAGCAGTGAGGTGTTATCCGATTTCTTCGAGCACAGAAAAACCATTAACTCCGATGTGTACTGCGAGACACTCTGACGCCTACGCAGGTCCATCGAGAACAAAAGACTGGGGCTGCTCACGAAGGGTGTGAATCTGCTCCATGATAACGCGAGTCCATACGTCTCCAGAGTCACGTGCATGGTACTGGCCACGCTCAAGTGGGAGACGTTGGACCATCCGCCCTACAGTCCGGACATGTCGCCCTGCGATTTCCACGTGTTTGGTCCACTGAAGAAACACCTGAAAGGGAAGCTCTTCAACTCGGACGATATACTAAGGACGCTGTGAAGGACTGGGTCTCGTCACGGCCACAGGAATTCTGGGAACACGAAATCCTGCGTATTGTTCCTTAGTGGGCTCATTGTGCTCAGGTCTATGGTGTATATTTGGAATAAAGTCTACATTTGTACCCACCGTGTCGCTTCGTACCTTTTCATTTGATCACCCCTTGTATATGTATTCACTGAGAAAAAAAATTATGGTCAAAATTACCAGAGAAAGTTACAATTTTTCTCGTTTCTAGCTGAATGGGAACAGTAAAATTTTTATCGAAGAGCTTTGGTAATAATTTTGCTAAAATTGATACTAAAATTTGGTTTTGTAAAATGCGGTAAAGTTTGGTTTATGTGGAAAATTTTGGTAATTTTATCATAATGCATTCGCACTTTGTTATCTCTTACTGATAGCCAATAATTTTGGACCAGTTTATGATGTATTTCATTCCTCTACGTTAAATTATTCACATGCAATATTGAAAAAAAATGTATCTCTCATTATTGCGAAGTGTGTTGCTATCAAAACTGTTTCGTAACAAATTGTCCTTTTTTTTAAAATTTAACAGATGAAAGAGGCACGCAAAATTATGGGAGAAAATCCAATAATAACTTAAAGCTTACTAAGATTATAGTTTATGTACTAAGTAAATATGTGGGATATGGAAACAAAGGCGTAGACAAACATAAGTTACAAAAACACTTTTTTTAAAAATTTACAATGTTTTCATATGTTGTTCTCAACATAAAATGATTTCTGGATAAAAAAAAATTCTCATCGATACTTATTTCTGTAAAATTTTAAAAAACTAGTGGGCTGCACTCCCTGCTCGCTAACGCTCGCCAATCCCCGAAAATTGCTACGCAATATTATATGGTTTGCTTCGCAAACCAAGCTCGCTTCGCTCGCTACTAACTTAGATACATTGCAAATGCACAAAATTCTAAGAATTCAAAACAATCATTCAAATCCATATAACAACTTTTTTTAAAAAAAACAACAACATCTTTTTAGTAAATACTAAGTCATTAAAATAAATTTAAATTCAAATAAATGACATGTAATTCGTTAAACCTATTAGAAATGTGCTATAGTATAAAATCTTAAGATAAAATTTCTAAAACTGATATCTCTTTAAAAAGGTTAAAATTTTAGCTATAATTAAGTCTATTAAAAATTGAAATAAGTGAATTGCAATGAAAAAACCTGCATAAACAAAACATTGTGTTTTTAAAAAATAATAACCATGAACAAATCCCAACTTTGTTGAAAACATAAGTATAAGTCTTAGAAGTTTCACATACAAAAGAAAAACTTGCAGAAGCTAAACATTAATTTGCAATAAATACTAAACGCGAACAAATACTGAGAAAGATTAAGGGCTTTGTAATAACAAAAAATAATTACTATTAAAGATTAAGAACTTCCTTAAACACACAATTATAAATTTCTGGACTTGGAGCTATCACTGTTAGGCTGTCAAATGATCTAACCCTAGAGATGCCAACATAAAGTTGTCCATGAATAAAATCTGGTTTAGTCTACATAAATTCGTGAAAAAAAGCGCTTTCGACAAAATACTAAAATAGAGATCTATCGACAAAGACTACTCACTTCTGCCTAGCTTAATAGTATGAAATTGCAGCAGCTGAATTGAACAACCTGCTGATGCTCTCTCTGGTTATTTCAGTTTCCGTTTTTAACAGCGCTATATGTTGAGCCACCTCAGTAAGATTTGGCATGTGACATTTTAAGCGACAATCATTGGTCGATTTTCTAGCGTTGCCATTCGGGGAGTTGTTATGAGGCTTTTTTTGTCGCCGTGTAAGAGAAATATATATATAGATGCCCCAAAAGATCTAAAATCTTAATATACAAACATGTATGAGTTAAAAATTTAAAACAAGTGTTACTTGTATAACAAAACTTTTCATGCTTCTATATTTCTTGATTTTTGAATACATGATTTTAAATCCCGAAATGATTGAAATTCAACTGACTTAGAAGCTATTTATCCCCACTATCATGCCAGTAGTTTATCAGCAATAAAACATCTAGAGAAAGGAAGATCTATCTAAGCTCTTCCTTTTTTTAGAAAGGTTTAGTTATAAAGCATTTAACTTATAACTGTGTAAAAGTTCTTGAAACGAATTGAAGGAAAGTAAGGGTGATTCTCACGAAATATGACAATTTACAGTCTCTTGCTCTAAGATCTAATACTATACAACTAAAAGAACTTTTTTTTTAAATTTTAATAAATAGCATTACTGTTAGCATTTTAAAATGACCTTGTACTATCATCCACTGTTTTGTATATTTATAAAATTTAATTGAACTTCAAAATGTCGTGTTTCTGGTATGTCACAAACAATATTTCCAATAATAACTAGCCTCAAAAGTTCGCATAAAATTTTCAATATCTAATTTTTTTTCATCTCAACCATTGTAAGCATTTCTAAAATATACGCAGAGGGTATTATTTACAAAAACTCCGTTTAAAATAATTTTTTCTGTCAAGAATTTGTTTGTCACATGAAAATCTGTCATTTTCCTGGCTACTTTTATTTATTGATTTATAACCAAAATAGATAGCTCCAGCATTTAATATCATATGCTAATAGATTGATTAGATACCACCCGATCTGAACATCTTGTTGCATGAATAAAGAACCAACTTTCTGGTTCAAAATCCATTTCAAAAATTTTTTTAAGGTGAGTAGGTTTATATGTTGTCATTTTCCTGGCTTCTTGAAATCATTAAAAGCATAAACTACATAGATTTATCTGAGCTATTTCAAGAAATTCTGTTGTTTTCTGCGGAATATAAAAGTCTTAGGCCAAAATATTAAATTAAAGTAAAGTTATATGCTATAAAATGGAAAATTTGTCATTATCCTGCCAGTCATTTTCCTGGCTTATGAATGCCAGGACATTGAAGTGTTACCAGAAATTTTTTTAAACAGTATTCTGTAAAGAGGGAAAGCAAATATTTACCTAATACCAAGTTTATGTATGATTGTAATATGCTTGAATGTAATCAAAGTTATTTATTTATTTAATGATTGATTATTATACACAATTTTATTCTGTACATATCAGCAACAAAAATATTTATGATTCTTTCTACAGTGGATAAAAAGAATTAATTTAACCCAATTTATGGATCATCTAATATAACGGTTTAAGTTGAGTTGCTTACTATTAGCTTAAAGTGACTGTTTTTTAAACTACTAAGCTAACATGTCATTTTCCAGGCATTCAAGATTTGGTGAATTTCCATTTTTTTTTCTTGGGCAAATGCCAATAAACTACACTGCTGTCTTTAAGATATTATTAATGTAACCAAATAAGTATGCAGAAAAAGAATTTAGATTATTTTGAAGACTTTAAATTTAAAGAAATTTTTCGGTCCGAATTGTCATGTTTCCAAAGTGTTTCCATGTGTTGTCACCCGTATATGCTTGGAATGAATATTTTTGTGAAAAAAATAGTTAGGAATTCGTTAGTTTGTTGAATGAAAATCTATAAGCATCAATATCTACTATCATCAATATCTAATAGATATCACTAACTGAAAGTAAGATCCAATCTTTTTTTTCTGCAGTTTTGAGTACTCGAGCATGCGCCGTCAATCCATGTAAGAAAAGCAAGGTATATTTTTACTTGATGTGCTGTCAAGTTGCAATTATAGCATTGGCAGAACTTATAAGTAATTATTGGCTTGCAATCGAAACAGTCTTACATTAGCCCCTACACCCTACGCAGGTGTTTCTCTCCTGCTAATACGAGAGGGGTCACAACCGTTGGCGACAGGATGAATTTTACATAGAATCTTAATTTCTATCCTCTTCTAATATATCAAGCCTAATTCGAATCAATTTAATATTGTCAGCATAATGAAAGGACAATCAATAGAGGCAACTACTTTCTCCAAAAAAAGTGTAATTGAACATTTATCGCCATTTAAATCAACTCAACTTATTTGCTTTCACAAACTAATGAAAACGAACAAAACACAACAAATATATTCATGTTTCATAACTTAATAATTTTCTTTTCCTTTTTATAATTATTTTTTTTCAATATGAAAAAGAAATAAACGTAACGAAAGCATAACAAACTATTCGTTCCTTAAACAGAGAAAAAGGGAAACAGGATAAAAACCACAATAGAAAAAATATTTAGCAATGCATGTACAAAGAACGATACTGTTTCCGTAAAAACAAACTTGAAAATGAATGTGTGTATTGTAATGAATTGTTAAAAATGAACTGAATTAAAAAATATTTCTTTATCTGTAAAAGAAACTTTCAATATCAAAATAAATTATAATGCAATATATTTTAATCAAAAAGATATCACAATTGTGACATTGTTCCTTTTTCAGATTTTTATTTATAATCTGAAGTTCAAAACAGAGAATAGGGAAATAGAACTCTGCATCAAACGAATGTTCTATTGTTTTTAACATAACCCACCCCTCTTCAATCATTCCATAACGTATTTTGATCACGTTTTATTGTTTAAACAGCTAATTTTTACATATTTAAAGCTGATTCAGCGGACTTGAGTTTTGATAGCTGAGTATAGATATTAAAATAAGGCAGCAAATAATGATTGTTCTTAAGATGCTAATGAAATTAATATTAACTGCTGTTCTTTTGACTACAGTAAATGGTTTTAAAATGCCTTCAAGTTCAAGCAACGTAGGTACGGGAGAACACTTTCAACCTTGTCAAAAATGGATTAAATGTAAAGCAGAGGGTGAGAATAATTTTGTGTTTAAATCTTATACTCAATTATTAATGCACTTTTGACTGTAACTGTATTTGATTCACAACTGTAATTATTGCAGCTTTTCAGTATAAGGTATATTAAGAAAATAATTAATATTTTCCTAACTCAATTATTAAAACGCAGTACTATTACATTCGTGGACACATTTCTGTTCCTCTATTGTCATGTCTTCTCAGGCTAGTGGACACAAATTGGACGTAAACACCAAAATGCTTTATTATTGGTTCACCAACCGCTTCATCATCTTGGTCTTCCTAGGTGAAACGTCTTGTTTTTCCCAGAAGGATCGATTGTTTTAAGAAGTCACAGTTTAGGGTCAGGAGTTTATGACTTCAAGTCTAATATTAATAATTTAATGGTTATTATCATTTAAGTTCTATATAAACTCGTGCAGCTATGATATACTATAAACATCCTACATTATGTGAAAAATTTATGTTGGTCCTCGTTTGCAAACGCCAGTTACAACTGTGTAAAGCTGGTTTTTTGCAGTTTCTATTCGACTGAGTAATATATATATATATANTAGTTATATATATATATATATATATATTCAATGAGGTGAATCGGGTTCGAATCCCAGCAATGGCAGGTCGTTACGAATTCCGGACCCGACTCGCAAAGACCATTACCCTTGCCAAGCTACCTTGCAATCTGGCTAACCGTGGGAGGTTTTTGTTGTTTTTCCTCCTTTCTTTGTTGTTTTCGTTGTTTTTTGATGGAACTGTGGTGAAATCATCGTGCTTGATTCGAGAAGTTCATGCTTTGGCGAACCTGAAAATTTCGACATACGCTCGAAGTATTTTTCGTAATCTCTTTGAACTGAACTGAAGTTCAGGAATATAAAATGTGATCATCGTAAAACTTCGTTACCATCGAAACCATCGTGATACTTTGTTCTTTTCCTTACTTTACTTCATCTTTTCTCTTTTCGCAATCTGCTTTACGTTTTTCTTCAGTCATTACTTGCTCGATTATTCTTGTATGTTTTTAATTTTGTTGTTAAGTTTTTATTAAAAGTTATGTTTAATTTAGCATTTCTCCTTTTGTTTATCTTTGGCGGCAGACTTAACTAAACATGCAGACTCATAATAGACGCTACCGATTTCTCGCCAAAAATAAGTAAAAGGAGAAATGCTAAATTTACCACAGAACTAACCAATAGTTTCATGTTATGGAAATGCTGGTTAGTTCCATCAAAAAGTCCTCCAAGAAGACAAATTTATCTGAAAACTTGGTCCAGGAGTTCCCCTGTCTTCTGGATTGGGTTTAAAATTACAAATCTACCGAGTTGAACATTAGCAGTCATAAATCCAAAATAGGTTCCGATGTTTAAGGATGGTTATAAAATAAAAATAAAAACTTTATTCTATCAACTTCTAAAAAAAACCTTTTTTTTATGTTTAACTCTTATGTTTGCTTAAATTAATCAGTTTAAAATTTATTAGTTAATTAGTGTTTCACTTTTTAATGATAGAGAGTAATATTATGCTCAAAATATATGCTATGTTTGATTAAGCACATCAACATGTATGGGGATGCTAGTTTTGAAAAGTAAAAAAAATAGTGCGTGGAGTCCCTCCGCGAGGAAGAAGTTAAACCTCGCAACCTGCGACGTTAATTGTAGAAGAAGCAGCAGTCGTAGAAGGATCACTAGTTCTATTCAACGACTCTTTTTCCTGCTCCGCTCGCTTCCGTGCTCTGTAATCACGGTAATATTGAGTTTTCACTCATTTTTTACAATTGTTATCCACTAAACTTGAAAATAAAAAATACTACCCTATTAAATTATATGTGTATCAAAACAAACTAAAAAATATTTGTAGAAAAACAATACTTTTATGACTTTTATTATTTTTATGCTGGTGAGAGCCAAAACAATATGGAAATGAATCAGGGAAAATTAAATCCTACCACGTGATTTCCCGGCCAATAAAAATTTAGCGTTAAACGTTTAACGTAACCTTGTTGGAAGTCGCATAAGAAGTATAACTTCAATAAGTAAAAATATAAACGAGTTAAACAGTAAGCTACAAATAATCTAGTACGAAAAAAATAACTATTTTTGAATTACTTTATGGAGAAAATTTCAAAGAAATATGAACTTTCATTAAAAAAATTTAAGCAACATAATTTAGTGATTTAGTAAAGAATAATTTAGTAAAGAAAATATTTATTATTAAACGTTATTGCTTATTTTGAAAAAACAATCGCATTTCAAGTGAAGTGTCTTTTAGTATGTCTCACGAGCTTTTCGGAACATGCTGTGCAATATTAAATTAAAGCACTATAAAGTTATATCATATTTGATATAAAACTTTTTCTTCCCTTTTATATCAGTACAAAACTGTAATGCTTTCCGTGTCATTATTAGTGCTTATATTTGCTTTAAATGCTTCATTATCTTATAAATAGGTCACAGCTTTCATTTGTTTCCGGCATATTATTGTCAAGTATATCTTAATGCACTTTCGCTCCCACATTTAAATGCCGTTTTTAAAAATAAAGTACTTTCTTAAAAGCGAACGAAAACTAAGTATAACTCGTTCATCTTCAGTTCAGATTTCTTTAATGCACACAAATAAATAAAAGTTTGAGTAACAGTTACCACAGGAGAGACTATCAGTACATTCAATAAAAAGTGAAAGAAAACATTTAAAAAAAAAACTTTTTTTTTAAAAAATAAAAAACTTTAAAAGTTAAATGCTTCTCAAATATAAGGAATTGACCGTTGATTCACTGTAAGTTTGCATTTCTTTGATATAAATAAAAAAAGTCGAAATCTTGGTAACAGTTATCATAAATACTTGACAACCAGTACTTGTACTGAAAAATGGAAAAATTGCTATGGATTTAAAGTTAGAGGAGAGGTATGACACGCTAGTAGAATGAGTCCGGATAACTCGATTTGTTAGAAATTAGTTATATTCTCTTGCGGCAAACTCTAAATTGCATTTTACCAGACAAGAAAAAGAACTACTATATCGGCGTGACATTATTGCTAAATTTATGGCATCTGTATAGATAAGTTCGTTTCGCTATGCTAAATCTCTAATGCTCTACTGTATTTATTGATTTTTACTACACTTAGAAAAATTAATTTTAGTTCAGATTATTTTACATTTACTAAAGATTTATACCCGATTAAGCAATTAGGATTTAGTCCATTAGTCATTCTGTTTCATTTTAATAACCTCTGCCATAAGCGTAAGATCGGTCGCTTCCTTAGTCTTACCTCCCCCCTTGATGTGTGTCTTCGTTTGACTCGCAAAAGATTCCGGTCAGCGGAAGAAAATAACTACATAACATTAAATTACATGCATAATATTTTTAAATTGCACTAAAAATAAAAATGTATGCTACATTTTCACTGAAATTCTAGTTTACCTAAATTTCTCCAAGAGTTATATCTAGAAGTTAATTCTCATGCACCACCCTCAACCCCACTAGAAGTGTAAGATGGGGTAAGAGAGATTCTGCTTTTTCTTGGGGAAAAAAGTCATTCATAAAAACAGTAGTACATATATGACTTTTTAAGAATGATAAATTGTACACAACTAAACAATGGATACCTTAATTAAATCTGATATATTTTTAGGTCGAGCAGTTTAGCTCCAGCAAGACTTCGAATCTCATTTTCCCGGTTTAATCCCACTTTCTCCTGCATACATTATGTTTTCATATGTATAAGAGGAGTTTCGCAAAAACAAATTGCGGCTCATCCACTAATTTCGTTTAATCATGAATTAAACTTTTGATGTAGTTGGATATTTTTTATTATAATCATAGGAAATGAAAAATTATTAATAATCATTTAATTAGATTAAAAAAGGATAAATACTTTTTGTTTGAAACATTTCGGATAAAACAAAACTTGGGATAAAAAACTAAAGATTTTTCTAACATTTACATTAATGTTATTTTTACTCTTTTTTCCCAAACAGAAAGAAAGTAATATTGCTGAATTTAAAAACTACGGTCTACAGTTACAGTATGCGGACTTTTTTAAATTTAATCGTGTCCACTTAAATAAGTGTGATATATAAGTGTGAAAATAAAAGTGATATTCTGATTACTCACCAACCATCCTCGAAAGAGCTTTTTTTCTGATTCTAGCTAAATTCTGATCGTTCTATTTGTACTTCAACTGTGATCGTTCTGATTCCAGTGAAATCTCCTCGGTTATAAATTTTTAAAAAAAATTTTAATTTAGCAAATGTAGTTCTGTAACAGCCAAAAGTTTATTTAAGTCACCTGAACTTCAGCGAAACTTTAGTTATCACCTTAATTTGTTGCTAATAAGCCTAACCTAAGGAACAAACTCTTATTTAAATATCAATTTTAGATACGAATATCTTAATTTTTTGTAAGCCTTTTTTTACTATATATGATATTGAATATCAGAAAGTGATTTACCTTTAAGAACGACATTTTTTTAATTAACTGAAAACAATTTGATTGCAGATAAAGCCGCACTTGATGAGTTTGTTGGATGCATAAATATGATACCAGATGAGGTAAGATTATTTTTGTTAAAAAGTTATTTTATCTAATTCTCTGAATTTGTTTTTATACTCAAACAACTTTATCTCTTGAATCTTAATATTTTGAGGATACCTTGGTAAATTCGACCTTGTTGACGCTTTTAAAAAATTGTAACTCATATCAATGCAAACATTATATTTTACAACAACGCAATTTTATTTCATAGCTCATACTCAGGTTATCTCCGCTACCAGATTGCAACAAAAATGCAACAGTCTCAGTGACCCACTTGAGACGAGGATATGACACAGTTTCGTCTCGTGCAAGGATCCTATTTAGACAAGAATCTGTCACATGGTGATCCTGTTGAAACTTGAATATGTCACAATTTTTTCACTGATATCCTGTTGAGACGTGAATATGTCCTGCTTTCGTCTCAGGATGAAATACTTGCGACAATTAAAGGTCTCATTGTGATCTCATGTTGACATCTAGGTGACGTTTAAATGTGACAACAACAAAAAAGGACTAAGTAACTTTTTTTAAACTTCAAGCCAAGTGATTTAGGCAGCCTTGAATTTCGGACGCCTGACTTCCGCTTAGGCAAGAACTACTTAAACGTTGCAATGTATATAGTTTTTTATTCTCACCTTTTTCTCTCTCTTTTATTTTTATGTCCCAATGGGAACTGCAGTAAAGGGTTTTTATAAAATTTATTTTATTTATTTCTATATTTTACTGCCAGCATTTTTTTTATAACGCATGGCGAGTTAGCCCAAACGAGGGGAAGCAACCCCAGTAGCCCCCATTTAATTCGAACCTGCCTCAGCCATAATATTTTTAAATGAGACAAATTTTATCAAGATTGTTGCAATGAAATTCGCTGATCTAAGGATATTCGGCTATACAATATAATCTACATAATATATCTGCTAATAAAAGCATATCACAAAAATTATTAGCATATTCATCTATTTTAAACACAGAGGAAAATTACATTCAAATTCTTTCTTCAAACTAAAAGTAATCTTAAAAATAATGAAATAAATTTCTTTAACTATTTTTCTTCAATTTGAACAAGGGCTATATTCACATTTAATAGCTCTATACTTGAGACTGTGAATGTTAGAAAAAAGAGAAATTGTACGGGAAAAAAAGTTTTTCTTTTTCATAGTCATATAGAGAGGTAATCGGAACTATTTAAACGGGTCACATCAGTGAGCCTCTGTTGTTGCGACCATTTATGACTTTATTTGATTCACATAGTTAATTTTCAGACTTTTGCAGAAAAAGTGCTTACATGAATTTCAACTGGCTGGTCTAACTTTAGTGATACGAGTAGCGTGACATCAATGAAATAAATTCGCTGAAAACTGATTATAAGAACAGAGTGAGAAAAGTCGAAAGAAATTAACTATAATTATACAAGTCGTGAAATGCTTTCCATAAAACTTTCAGGGGTCAAAATTATAACATAGTTGCAAAAATGTTTTTCAGTTACTTTAGTCCCAGTAAAGTATGCTTGTGACTTCCAACTGGCAAAAGTCACAATAAGTAGTCAATGAGACTTTCATATGTTATCTCATGATAAGGCGACATCATAGTCACATTATGTTCTCTTTGGAGTAATTTCGAACTGCCACATTTGTGACAATGATTGCTTTAAACATTTACGACTACTCCGCGCCTGCTACGAATATTCCGTGCCTGTGACAGGTCGGAGCAATCGCTGTGTAAAAAGTAATTCAGAAAAAAGTATGACATCGGAAAACTGTAGAGTATACAGTGCTCGTGGAAAAGAAAGGTAAAAAAACTACCCTGAGTAAATTTTGATCTTATGATCAGATCGTCGCGTATCAGAAATCGTTCTAAATGACTTGAGGGAGTGACCTCAAATATGCTAATTAATTAGCGGAGACAATATTTTAAGTTACGAAAACAGACACATAAATGTCTTTTTTCCGAATCATCATTGGGTTTTTTTTTCTTCATGGATTCAAACTCCTGATCTTATAAATATAGGAGCTAGCAGCAATCTGGGAAATGTGGCTACAATAGTTTGTTCAAGAGCGCTGTCTGAAGTTTTGACCGCTTATATTTATCTAACAAAGGGAAGGGTGACGCTTTGGGCTATGCAAACTAATGCAAAAAACACCTGGAAGCACAAATAAAAATACATAAATTGACCTATAATAGTTTCAGTTTTATAAAGAAGAAAGTTCATCAGAAAGTTCAAACACTGGGAAAGACATTACACAATGAGAAAGATCCTTGTTAATGAAAACTATTCCTTGTAAATTTATGCACTTTCATTTATATTTTATTCACGTTTTTTTTATTCTTATACTTTATTTATTCTTATACTTTCGCCTTATGCTTTTTATTTAATTTATTCTTATACTTTCGTATATCTCCTTAATTTTATATAATAATCAAAAATTGCTACGAGCAATAATAAAATTCGGTTATTCAAAGATAATTCTATGCAAAATAAAATTTTTAATAAATGTTTTTTTTATTATTTTATTTAATAATGCTCGAAAATTTTTTAATTGTAAGGTATGCAAATGTTTAGTTGAAAAAAGTAGTTTTATGCTCTGAAATGGGAAATTTGAGCGAAACCATTTGACTAGTTTCTGAGAAATCAAATTTTAAAATTGGACTTCAAATTTTAGATTTTGACGTAAGGGATTAATTACATTCTTTAAAATGATTTAAACATTTTCATAAATTCAAATTTGTGTCAACGATTATTATATAAAATAAAAAATATAAATATTAAAAAATATTTTTTGAATGGAAAGAAATGAATTCCATAATTGTGATCAAATTTTTTTTATTCGCTTAAATCTTTCTCGAAATATGTGGAAATATACAAATATTAAAATTAATATTGAGGTGTCAAAACTTTGGCCATTTTTCCAACTAAATGATATTCACCTCATTTCCCAGTTTGTGATACCCCATGTTTTGAGGATCAAGATTCCGTTTTCGTGTCTGATTTCGTAACTAATAATATCGTCTGTTCTAACCAATCAAAACTTTTTCAGGCCACCCCCTCGAACTATTCAGATTAATCTGTCGTAGATGAAGATCTGATAATTAGGTCAAAATTTATTCAGGGTGATTTATTTATTTTTTGCGCAATATGCAGAATTAAAAAATGTAAAAAATGGAATTATTTGAGATTAAATGATGCAATTTTATATACTATATTGTTTTGAAGTGTTGCAATCTGAAAAATTAGGTTACCATATTTTAGTAAAGACAATGGTTAAAATTCTTTGATATTTTGATCTCTAAAACATTTGAGTTAATAAATATTTTCGAACGTTGTAATATGTCTTTTATATAAAGATAAAATTTGTCAAAGAAACTCTGAATTGCAAGGCATATAAATTTTTCAAAATTTGGCAATTTCAATAGATATATTTCAAAATTAGAACTAAATTTGTGATTTGTTCAGAAATATATATAAATCTAAAAGGGCAATTTTTTTTAAAATTTATAACTCAAAACCTACGTGACCAATTTTGTTGAATATTTAACCAAAACTTTGCTTTTTGTGATTTAAAATTAAAGTAGAATTAAAATTTGTAAATATGACTGTTATAATTTTTTTCGCTACTCTTATGAAAAATAACAAGACAATAAAAAAGTAATAAAGTTCCTTTTAAGGCAAAAACAGTATAAGTTACCTCATTTGGAGAAAGATTCTTATAATTGTGAGCAAATATGTTTTGATTCACTTAAGTTCAAGAGACAAGGAGAATTATGTAAAATATTAAATTAACCGATAGTGTTCACAACATTTATATGCACTTTACAAACCAAACTAATAGGGCCATATATTCAGATCTAAATACATTGATAAAGAAAATAAAGTTTATTAATAAAAAGAAAATTTTTGCCCAATTTCGCAATTTAATTACCAATAGAACAATCTTATTATAATCTATCTCAAATTTACTATAGGTTTATAAAATGGAAAAATCTGCTAGCATGTAAATTATAAAGGGTGCTTATATTGTTTCTTCCGGTTCAGTGTACTATTAATTGATAATTTAGAGCTTAACCATATTTTTATTTTAAAGAAAATGAAGAAGTTTATAAAAGTACTGTCAAATTATGCCAAAAAAGAAGAATGGTCAGACGCAGAAGCAGCATACAAGGATTACTGTACCTGGGATAATGAACAACAGGTATGGAGAAATAGTGTCATAATTACAACAATTCATGAATTTTATTATAACCAAATCACCTACACTGTAAAAAATACCAGATAAAATTATAGTAAGAAGAACCGGTGGTGGCATTATTCGCAAAATCCATTTTCGCCTTTAAGTATTATGCTGTAATATGTATTTAATTAGCGTGATTTAGCTATTTTATTGAAAGTATCACATTGAAAATTACTGTATTTCAGACTTTTAATCCGTAACATATTCTGGTAATAATCTGTGTATATATATATAAATAAATAAATATATTCTCTTTCTCTGCACTTCTTTTGAAGTCAAAAGAAAGAGTGATTGTACAGTATTATTTATAAAATCTTGTATAGTTTTGTGTAGATTTGTTTAATAAGAAATGAGACTCTCTACTGTAGATTGTGCTGTTGCTGTGTTTTACTGTATCTACAGACTTCTATGAATAGAGCTATGCCTGATTTTTTGAAAGTTTATGTTATGTTATGTTTCTTCTTAAAGCATGATGATGGTAAAATATATCACCTTGCTTTACACACTGATGATATCACTTTTAAATTGTTGATATTTTGCACTTTCATAATTAAAAGAGAGAAAAGTTCACGCAACTTTCAAAATGTATCTCCATTTCCCAGCAAACTCTAAGTATAATTTTATTTGTGGATTTTTTNTGTGCCTTTTTACCTCAAATCTGTGTTGGTATAAAACGTAAGAACGCATGGTTTTGCGTGTCCTTTTCATCTTGATGTGATCCCGATAAGCTGTTGCGGAATTGTCCGGAGTCTTGTCCACTCCCCCTCCTTTGCAGGAGTGGGGACGTGAACTGTTAGCAATACCAGCCTACATTTAAATAAACCTGTTTTGAACGTTTGATGGCTTAAGACTGCAATTATTTTAAGCTAAATACAACACTGATAAGTTATTACAAGTCGGCAGCATAGTTGCTTGCTGAGGAAACCTTTGGAGGAAGTTTAAGATTTTCTATCTCTGGAACTAAGCGTAACGGAGGCTGACTGCTTCGTGGAAATTTTCCATCACCCCCGGAGGTTAAAAAAATCGAAGGTGAAAAAAACGTTAAAGGAAGGAAGGGCGATTTTCCACCCGTACTACTAGTACCTCGTCGCGCCTGAAATGCTGATGTAGATGGAAGGAAGGACGATGGCTGGAGATTGTCCCCTGAAACCAGTGAAAGTATCCCATCCGATGACCCTACTATTCCATAGTGCCTCTAAGTTGGAAGAAACATCATCCATGGTAGTGATTCGATACCGAATGATCCTACAATTCTTACTACTCAAGTTGTGAAATAAAAAGTGAATGTGCGCGAATCTTAATCATGAATATTCATGAATTGTTACGATTTAAGTGCGCAAATGAAAAAAGAAAAAGAAAAAATGATATTTTTTTCTCTCTTCAACGAAATAGAGGAAGGTCAAAAGAAAAGTGTGACAAATGGAAAGGATTTACTGTAGATATTTTTTTTCTCCCTCATTTTTGTTTCTTTCTCAATGTTATGATTAAATATTTTAGTAATATTAGATATGAGTAGTAATCTAAATATTTTATTTTGAATAATGTAATAGTATATTATTAATGATTAGATTGCATTTCTAGTGTTTATATTGTTTTTTTTTAAAATTATGATATAATATTGTTCTTTAGTGCATTTAAAATGGTTTTATTTTTGGAAAAAAAAATATGGTTCAAACGTCAATTAAACTAGTGACGGCAAACTAAATCAAGTTTTTAAACTTTTGTTTCCAAATGATTTTTTAGATTTAACCACATTTAAAAATTAAATTGTTCAGAACTTTCTTTTGAACCTAACGATGAAGAATTTTCAAACAAACTTAAAGAAATTTGTACTTCTTTTACTTTTTCAGACTTGGTCAAAACTAAATATTCCTATTTAAAAAATGTGAAAATTTATATGTGGGTAACATATAAATTTTACTGTTAACTGTCCGTTTGTTTGGGTAAAACAAACGGACAGTTAACACTTAGCAAAATTTGTGAGTTTCCCTAATTACGATAGGCGAAATTGTTTAATCAGTTAAGTTTTTTATACTTGATGCCGATTTACCATATGCTTTAGTAGGGTTGTAGACTTGCAGGGATTTTTGTTTGTTTATTGATTGTGTCGGGCCAGTTGTTATTCTATTTGGTAAGTGACTGATCATCTCTGCTAATTCTAAAAGTGACAACTTATCTTTGCTCATTAAACAGCAGAATTCTCAAAATGTTATGGTTAAAAATGGTGAAAAAGATGTTTAAAAAAAAGTAAACATCGAAAAAAGAAAAGAATGATGTTTCAAAAAAATAAGCATCGAAAAAATGAATGTTAAGGATGTTTCAGTAAAAGTAAACATCAAAAAATAGAAAGAAAGAATGTCCAAAAAGTTCAAATGATTCGAAGATAGATCTAGGTAATGGATGCGTTCATTATCAGGTTAATATCGACGAAAAAAT